TAGGATAGGATAGGATAGGATAGGATAGGATAGGATAGGATAGGATAGGAAAGAAGAAGGAAGGGAAGAAAAAGACAGACAGACTTTATAACCCTCATACCCTACCCTAACTCAAGAAGTACCCGTGGTCTGCAACCACACTACTGATCCACACCCTGCGTGTTTCTGTGCGCATCAGAGGGAAAGAGAAAAGGATGACAGCCAAGGGACAGTTTCGGCTCTTTTCGCATCCTTTTTGTTTTTTAATGCAAAGCAATTGCAAAAAAGTTGGGGAATTCATTTATTTTTGTCCTTTTTCCAAAATTGTTCTCATCCACCGTGGGAAGTTTGTTTGTTGGTTTTTTTTTTTTTTTTTCATTTGGCTGTGTGGCGAGATTTTTGTTCACAAAATCTTTCCTTGGAATCTCTTACATGTCTGATAGTTTGTTTTTTTACTTTTCACACTTAGTAAACTTGGTTAAAAACCTTTCCTTCCCGTCTCCGTGGAAGTGGGGAAAAAAAGTGTCAGTTGGCCCTTCAATGAGGACAGAAGGAATTGGTTATTTAGGCCTCACTGGGGTTCCTACTTTCATGCAACTAACCATAATCTCCACTGGATCTTGGGGAAATGATTCATATTAATTATAATATTTATATTTTCTGTTCTTGCTTGTAATAAGTTTTAAGCAGGACTAACAGATTTAAGTACTACTGGTAGTCTTCAAAGTACAGCCACAGTTGAGCCCAAAACTTCCATTGCTAAGCAAGACCACGTTTAAGTGAATTTTGCACCGCTTTACCACCCTTTTTTTTTTTGCTACGGTTGTTAAGTGAATCACTTCAGTTGTTCATTTAGTCACGAGGTTATTAAGTGAATCCGGCTTCCCCGTTGACTTTTGCTTGTCAGAAGGTCGCAAAAGGGGAATGCATGACCCTGGGACACTGCGACCGCCATAAATGTGAGTCAGTTGCCCAGCGTCTGAATTGGATCAGTTGACTCCAGGGATGCTGCATTGGTCATAAGTGTGAAGAAGAGTCCCAAGTCCCTTTTGTTAAGGACTGTTCCAGCTTCGGTCACTAAGCGAATGGTTTAAAATCGAGGACCACCTGCATTTGAAAGCAGCATTGCACTAGGTATGTTAAGGAAGATAACGCTGAGATGGAAGCATTAATGGTTTTGTTTAATAACACACAGTATGTATTTATTTAGAAAATATCCATAGCCACTCAACTCGCTCCATAGCCTTGCAGAAATAATATTTCAATAAATCCCCGACAGCAACTCAGTAAGCTGCATATCTCCCTGGGGTCTCCAGGCCACGTCTCCTGTAACACCTCCTGTCTCCCTGCTGTAGATGGGACTGCCCCAAAGGTGCTTTCTCAGGAGGCACCAGGACTTTTCTTGGTGTTTCTATTTCCTTTGAAGGCGTTTCGTTTCTCATCCAAGTACCTGGTTCAGCTGGAGAACAGAGCTGAAGAAGCTTCTTGGGTGAGAAGTGAAACACCCTCAAAGAAAAGTCCAGTTGCCTGCTGAAAAGGCACCTTCGGGACAACTGTGACCCGGAGGACTGAGAATACCCGTAGACTTTTATTGATGTGGCTAGGAAAATAGGGTCCTTCAAATAATGAGAAGGAGCCATCACGGAGAAGGCCCTCCTTAGGAGGCAGGACTCTCAAGTAGGGTGATGTTCCTTCTCTCGTACCTGGGGCCTAATTCACGACTTCCTGGCTTAATTCGAATCATGGTTTTCTGGTCCATGTCAGCTCATAAACGTACCCTTTGCCTGCACGTAGGTGGTAGGACTTCCTTGTCCTTCAAGCGGTAAGGCATAATCTATTGTGGGTGAGGACAGAGGTGCTTCACGGTTGATGAAAGAGGAACTACGAAGAATCAGAAACAAGCTTAGATTTTGAAATTGGTGGGGGTGATTTTCACTTTGGCAAGGATGGCATGTAGAAGAATCTCATTCTTTGTGATTCGGTATCATCGTTTACTCTTATTGATTTTTGTTATTTTTCCCATATTTTTTTTGTTTATATTGCATTGTATGATAGTATTATGACATGATATTGTATTATTTACATTATGTTATAATACATTATTATATTACATTACAATACTGCGTTATATTTCATATTTCATATACCATATACCATATATATATATATATATATATGTATATGTATATGTATATGTATATGTATATATCAATAATACTAGGTTGCTTAAAGGTACAGCTGATCCTTAACCTTTTGTGTTTCTAATTGCAGGAGGTCTACCGGATCCCAAAGAAGAGCCAAGTGGAAAAGGAGAGCAGCGGTAAGTATGCAAAGGTGTCACTCTTTGGAGCTTTCTAGACCAACGTTTCTTAACCTGAGCAGCTTTAAGATGGATGCAGCCAAGATGGCGAAATGCTAAATTATAAGCCCACAGCCAGGTCTGGAAGACAGATTGTCTACCATTGTGAAAGAGGAGGAGAACGGGCCTCTGACTGACTGACTGGTATGAACTGATGGAAGGATAGGTGGAGGGATGGAGATAAGTAGATATGGATGGATGGATGGATGGATGGATGGATAGACAGACAGACAGACAGACAGACAGAAAGATAGATAGATAGATAGATAGATAGATAGATAGATAGATAGATAGATATAGATAGAAATACAGAGAGAGAGAATGAGAGAGAAGGAGGTGTGGGGAGAGAAATTGTATTTCTAAACACTAACCTGCTGTTTATTAGTATTCTGAACCATTCAGTTAAGAAAAAGAATGTGGTTTTATGAGATGTTTTATGTATTTACTTATTTCATTTTTATCTTGCCACTCATCTCATCGAAAGGCAGCTTTGCAGGTTGGCTGTCTTGATTAATTTTCTTTCTTTTTTTTTTTCCCCCACCTCGTCTCCCAATGCTGGTTAGATCTGGCCTCGTAGTTAAACAAAATGTCCCCCCTGTAAACCACCTTTCTCCGTCCTGTTACCAGATCATGGGAGAGAGATGATGGGCCGAGAGCCCCCGACTGCTCTCAAAAATCAGAACAGAGAGCGGGAGCTGGAAAGGCAGAACAAAGAGAAAAAAAAACGGAGGGAGTCCTTGTCGCCCCCGTCGGCCTACGAACGAGGCACCAAGCGACCGGATGACCGGCAAGTTGGGAAGGGTTCAACCTACTTTTCCGTTAACACTTTCAGGTAGTCCTCAACTTACAATCATTCGTTCAGCGGCAGAAATTGTGATGGCGCTGAACAAAGGGACTTGGCAGCCAGTGCTCAAAGTTACGACCATTTATTTAATAGGAGGGCCAACACAGTGATCCTGGTCGCCTTGCTTAATGACTGCAATGGCCAGCCACGTTGGAGACATTAAGCTAGGTACACATGCAACAGCCTCCATTACAGTCATAACTTGAGGACTACCTGCATATAAAACAGGTTGAAAGGGTTTTTTAAACTCATTTTAAAAACCTTTTTAGGTTGCCCATGCTTCAAAACAGCCGTTCCTAAGACGATATATAAAGCAATCCTTGTAAAGATTTTTTTTTTTAATACTAAAAACACGGCGTGTGCTGGGAAGAATCAAATTTAAAAAATGCCTAAAATTCTATTTAATCACTTGCAAAGACGGTGTGGGTTTTGTGTTAATGATAGCCTCCCCGGACACGAGGCCTGCCAGAAGTCGATGGGGGAATGGCTTCACAAAGCAACTTTGCCAAGATACCTAAAATAAAGTTAGTCCTCGACTTACGACCACAATTCAGCCCAAAATTTCTGTTCCTGGGTGAGACTTTTATTAAGTGAGTTTTGCCCCATTTTACAACCTTTCTCGCCATAGTTGTTAACTGAATGACTGTGGTTGTTAAGTTAGCAACATGGTTGTTAAGCAAATCGGGCTACCCCGTTGAAAAATACCGGGAGGCTCCAAAGGTCAGTTGCCAAGCACCAAAACTTTGATCACAGGACCACAGAGATGCGGCAGTGGCCTAAGGGCGGAAAAACAATCATAAGACGCTTTTTTCAATGCCATTGTAACTTTGAACAGTCACTAAATGGACTGTCCCAAGTCGAGGACTACCTGCGTTATGGTGCCTCGGAGTCCAACCTGCTTGAATTTTTTAACAAGACAGTTTGGTCTTGTGGATAGGCTGCTGGCTGGGCGCCAGGGAGTTCTAGTCCCACTCGATCCGCCGCACGCGGCCCTCTTCCGCTGGGATTTTCAGCCCTGTTTCCCTCCCTCCCTCCCTCTCTCTCTCTCTCTCTCTCCCCGCAGCTACGACACGCTGGCCACGGGTTCGAAGAAGAAGGTCCGCCTGAAGGACCGCAGCAAGCTGTCCACCGAGGAACGGCGGAAGCTCTTTGAGCAGGAGGTCGCCCAGCGCGAGGCACAGAAGCAGCAGCAGCAGCAGCTGCAGAGCCTGGGCATGGCGTCCCCGCTGCCCTACGACTCCCTGGGCTACGGGGCCTCCCACCCCCCGTTCATGGGTTACCCCCCAGGCTACCCCATGCAGGCCTACGTGGACCCCAGCAACCCCAACGCTGGCAAGGTGCTCCTTCCCACCCCCAGCATGGAGCCCATGTGCTCGCCGGCCTCCTACGAGCCCTCGCAGACTCTGGTGGGCCACGCCATGGAGCCCGGCCTGGCCACCTCACAGCCTGTGCCGGTGGTCCAGCATGTAGCAGCCCCCCTGGAGGTGTCCACGCCCCAGTACGTGGCCCCGAGTGACCCCATGGTCCACCAGGAGCCCGGCGTGGCTGTCTTGCCCGTGGCAGCGCCTGGTCCGGTCCAGGGACAAAGCTACGGCGTCTGGGACTCCAGCCAGACAACCGTGGCAGTGCAGCCCCCCTACTCGCCGGCTCAGTCTCAGCCCACCATCTATTACCAAGGACAGGCCTGCCCAACGGTCTACGGAGTCACCTCGCCTTACTCTCAGGCCACGCAGCCCATCGTGCAGGTAATCTCGCCCAGGTGAAGTTGCGGCAGAATTGGACGCGGTCTTCCGCCAGGTGGTGGGGGGAAGACGCTCAGAATGGGCGGGGGGGGGGGCAAAGCTCGTTGAGACCACCTCTCCATTGTCCTCAACTTACGACCACAACTAGGGCCAGAATTCCCATTGCTAACCCGGGGGGGGGGGGGG